ATTACTAACTCACATAAATACTTCTTTTAATTTCTATTAGATTCATTATAAAGTATTTCTTTAATAAAAAGATATTATACAAAAGCTGAATCTCTTGATCAATATTATTATCTAATAAAATTATTTAGAAATAACTGATATATTCATATAAGATATATTTAAATCCTATCATGTAATTAAGATATCAAAGTATAAAATATTCATATATTATTATAAGAAAATTCACTATAAGAAAATCTTAAAGATCTTTATACTCTTCTTAATAGTAAATAATTTAGTTTAAAGCTTCTATTATATTATAACATAATATTGATTAAATTATTAATTTCTTTGATTAAAATAAAAAAAGATATAATATATAATAAAAATAATAACTGGCTCTATATTCCTTTCTAATAATAAATAATTCAATATAAAACTTCTATTAATATTAGAATATTATGTTGCATAATAATATTAATTTTTATAAAATAAGAAAAGATATAAAAACTCTTGTTAAAAATAATAATAGTGAATGTGTTAAGAAATAATATAACTTACTAAATATTACTATAATATTATTATCTTCTTATCAATAAAATAGAATAGTGTAATATTTATATATCTATAAAAAGGAAAATATATAAATTGTAATAATAATTAAAAACTAACAAAGAAAAAGAAAAAAAAGGATAATATTTATTACCTATTATAGTTATACAAATAATTCTTGTAAAAAATCCCTAATATGATCACTAATATATTAATTAATATAATATATCTGAAATTTTTTATTTCATATATCCTAAAAAATTATTATATTATTACTATTTATAATTATTAATATTAAAAAGACTGATATATTACTTGATATTAAAGTAATTTTTGATATTAATAAAATAGCTGATATGAATATTAATAATAATGAGTTTGATGATATGCTTGATCATATTCTGAATATAACAGATAGAGTTGATCAAATATGAAAGATAGTAGATAATGATAATACAATGAATAAAGAATTATGAAAAATAGAGAGAGTTAAAACCTATTCTTTTTCAGTAGCAGAATATGAGAAATAGATCAAAGATCTCAGGAAAGCAGAACTTAACTATATTTTATATGAATATTGACAATAGCCTAATATAAAAAATAAAAATAAATGGACAGAATGATAATAGTATTATTATTATAGAATATATAAGAATATTGCTAAAAAGAATTTTTGCAAGAAATTATGACCTGTACAAAAAGAAATAAAAAAATATAAATGTAAAAGTTATATTCAAGTTGTGTTTCCTATTAATTTTTCAATAGTAATTTTAAGATATTACTATAAATATAATAATCATTATTCTAATTAATTATCAGACTTATATACATTTTCTCTTTCTGAAAATATTTGATAATTCATTTGGTAATATGCTCTGGAAGAACTTGATATTTATAATAGATAATGATTCTTGCAATATCAAGCAATTAAACTTCAGAATTAAATATAGTTATTAGAAAGAGAAGATTATGGATAATAAAAAATCTTTGGATATTCAGCTATTACAGGATGAGCTGATAATAAAAGATGATATTTATATAATTATGCATAATATAATGAAAGCATATTTTTATTTTGATAAAGATAAGCTAGAATCTCTGAATAAATAGCAGGTAAAGTTAATTATTACAAATAGTTATTATTTATTTGAGCATGATAATGAAATGATTAATATAGAATTCATATTCATTTTTCAAATAGAAAAGCAAAAGAAATTAATATAACTTACAAAAGTTATATATCTAGATGATATACATGAATTAAATTAATATGAATATTATTTTTTTACACTTCTTATGATATTCAATAACAAAAAATAGATATCCAGTTGTATTTCTTATTAGCAAGTTTAAGTGATTTATTACATTAAAAAAATAGCTTGATTTCTTAAAAGCCAAACATGAGAAGTAAAGTTCAGATATTTTTATGATTGATGATACAAAGAAAGAAATTAAAATAATTGAGAAGTACTTTCTTAATAGTATAGTTCTGGTATACTATTTTCATATGTTAAAATCTTGATGCAAAAAATTGAATAATTATAATAGTACAAATACTAATTCACATAAAATAATTATTTAAAAAGATTTTTAATAATTAATAAAAATAGAAGATTAGAATGATAATAAAATACAAAAGTAAGTTGTAGAGACAATTGATAAATAACAGAAAATAAGTAATAAGATGATAAATAGCTTTGCTAATTACTTTAAATATTGGTAAAAGTCAAAATATGAAAAATAAATAGTATATTTAAGAGAAATCATTAGAGATATAATAGATATAAATAATCTAATTGAGATATTTTATCATAAATTAAAATATATATATATAAGAGAGCAATCAGAATGACAATTGGATAACAAAGTATATTTACTTATAGAAATTTTACTTCAAGACTTAGATTTTTTAGTTTTTTTGGATGACTTAAAATTGAAAAAATGAATTCATGATAATGATAATAGTAGATTTGAAAGATTACAGGAATCATATATGTTAATAAAAATGATATTTATAATCTTAACTTAAATACTTAGATAGTATATTCAATAATGAATAATGATATAGAGTATTCTATTCAAAAAAATAATCTTATAAATAATTTAGATATTATTTCATATATTTGCTCTTGACATAATTTCTAAGTATAATAATTATTATGTAAATATATTTTTTATTATTCTGAATCAATTCTGAGTTTATGATGATAGTATAGAGAATGACCAGTATATCCAATATCAAATTACTGAGATAAATAATGTGATCAGAAAGATAATTAATGAAATTATCAAGATTACTGAAATAAATGATGAGATCATCAAGATAAATAATGAAAATATCAAGACAAATAATAAGAATATGAAGTTTAAGAAACTATAAGAAGAGTTTAAAATAATTATTGCAAAATAGAAGAATAAGAAGAAATAAGATATTCATAATTTACGATTAACTATTTAACAAGCTATTCAAATAGAAAGAATTAAAATTACAAAAACTGAAGTTATGCTAAAAAGTTCTAATATAACATCAAGGATGAGATTTAAAAGACAAAATAGATTTTGAAATCTTTATTTTGCTTTACATACTTTAATAAATTTACATTTACACTGCATAACTCATTTTACTAGCCACTCTGATCCACATGATAAGTGGCGCCACCAATTTCACCCAATCGGAGATTTGGATCTCCTCTGACCAATAGAAACTTCGGATGAAAATTAGTAAATGCTACGGCAATTATTAACTTTTTTAATTTTACATAATTCGAATTTGACATATAATCCACTACCCCGCTTTAGCGTTCCCCCGAAATCGGAATCAATAATACTGACAGAATTATAAATTATAAATTATAAATCTAACCTAATATATGACATACGGCAAATGTGCTGTTTTTCTTGCTATGTACACTGAAAAATATTTGCACTATGGAAACATTGAAGAAAGAGGGGTTGCTCGAGCATCTAAAAGCGCATCTTTCAGAGGTTCAATTCAAGAGTTTCCGACAAAATGAAATCGAACCCGATGATCAAGAGAAACTTCGTCAAATGCAAGAAATTCTAGAGAAAGATCCTGCACTGTTTCTTACAAAATGGGGGAAATTTCTACCAAAAGAACAGCTACAAAATTTTTATTCCTTACGAGGTGTGTACGTTGTGGTTCGAAGGTTCAAACTTTATCAATTAATAATAGCTGCGTCATTTTTTTTATAGGCGATTATGAAGTGAACTGGTTATTAGAACATTTACAGAGTGATAAAAATAACGAATCACCGGAAACAATTTCACGTAACCTCTCACCCTCACAACGAAAAGATAAAAAAATACTAAACAGGCGGTTCAAGTATTTGCTCAATAACCTAGAAAATACCTCTTACTTTAGTGATCAAGCTATGGAAATGCGTGAACCCTTGCTATATGAAGAGTATATTGGAAAGTATATACCAGAAGAGGAAAGGTATCCACCTTTTTCGGATGAAACTGACCTTGTAGAACGTATATATTATGATATAGGTATTATCAAGTTGACTACATTTTTATTCAGGTTTATTTTTTTCGCGTATATTAATTTGTCTTTTTCATAGATCAAAATCATATACGCAAAAAATTGAATTATCAAAAAATGATACAAGAAGAGCAGATGCAAGAAGAGGAGGAAGACGATGAGGAAGATGAAAAAGAAAGTAAAAGTGGTAGGCGCCGATTTTCTTTAATTTAAACGTCCATCTATGATATTATTTGTCGAAATTTCAATAAATCATAATTACATTAGCTGAAAACGAGGCAAAAACTGTAGCGAACCTTGCAAAATTACATATATCTACTGTTGAAAAGGAGGAGACACCCCAACAACAAACCAGTGAAATAGACATGGATGAAGAAATATCGTCTCACAACAATAATGATAATCGAGGGCATTCTAACACCGACATTGACAAGAACATGGAGAATTTATCTTCTGAGGAACTTAAAGAATTACGAGAAGAATTTATTGATATAATGCGCGAAAAATTCATCTCTGGCAACGATGTAGGTCTTTTATAAATCTATTAAACGTTCAAATACTCCAAAGAATCGACTCAATGTTTATTGATTCTTAGACGGAATTCGATTATGATCAAATTGATTATAATGAGGAGTTTGATAATGTCGATCAGGAGACTAATGATATTCAAGATGATTATTTTGATAAAGGTGATTTTTTTGTATTAAATCTCGTATATGCGCATACAAAATAAATTTATTTATCCTATCATTTTGCTACACAGAGGAGCCAAATGATACGACAGAAAGTAACAATGATACAGGAATTCTCGATTATTAGCTAATTTTTTAGCAAACAAAAGGAAGGCTCTTGTTAATTAGATAATTATAAGCTACGATGACGTAAATAGTTAGTCAATTATGCCCTCTATAATAATTAATTGGGTAATGTAAATTATATTGTTTTACTTTCATAATGAATTGATGATATATAATTATTAAATAACCTCTCTACCAGTAGAACCAACCAGATTAGGATGAGAAGGTTCCTCTACTAAGTTCTATATCAGACGCTCGGTTCCGTACAGACGCAAAAAAATCACAAAACTTTGATCTTACACCTAGTTTTTTTTTACAGATTTGATTAAGGTTAGGCTGAATATAAAAAGAACTAACTGAACGGCTCTTGATCAACTGATTTGCTCTTGATCAACTGATTTATATCCATGAGCATCTAACGACAAGACTCTTGCAACACGGTTCAGATTTATTTGTAATTTGCTGGACTGGGTTATATATGATTAGTTCGTGTATAATTGGACATATCGATCGGATCATGAGTTAAATATTCTTGGAAGGAAAACAAATAATTTGTATGATTTTCGACTTTTACTTATTTCAAAATAGTGACATTATGGTCAGAGTATTTTTAGAAAATAAATCATTACAGCAAGCGTTTGGGTAGTATTGCCAATTTCATGGAAATAAACCAATTTTCATGTAACTTTGGTCATAAGTCATACAAAATTTATAATAAAATTGAGGCATCCCAAACAAACAAACAAAGCAATTTGGTTGGTTAATTTCACAGCCACAGGATTACGTAGAAAATCTTGGTCGTAGGCGAAAATATAGGTAAACCAATCAAATCGAACCCAATATTTCATACCTTGCGAACATGATGCTGACAAGATATAATAGAATTAATGTGACAGATTAAAATGAAATCGGATTAAAATGAAATTTTCTCTATTTTAATATGAAAATTTCATATTTTTTTGGGGGCAATTTTCTAGGTTTTTTTGGAATTTGGGTTAGGATTTAGGGTTACTTTTGTTAATAGAAGAGTATATATGGATTTCAGAGGCATTAAAAGAGGATTCAAAAAGACCCCAATTTCATTTTAATCCGATTTCATTTTAATCTGCCACAATTAATAAAATTGGTTGGACTCGTGATTTTTTAACTTTGCGTCGGAAAAATTTAGTCGGGCTATGAATATTTGTCGTGATACAGAAGGTTTGATTGAAGACACCAATCATGTGACTTGTCCCATTTTTTGATTTTTTTTAAACAGAATATTAAATGTATATTTATTCATTTCGAAAATTTCCTGACACGAATCATGGAAGATTTTCCTGCGCTCGAGGGTTTCACTACAAGTTCTAACTTAAATTTATCCTCGGATCCAACAGCCGACTTTCTTGCACGCGAACAGGCGACACTTGGTGAAGATGCCGCACTCTTTAATGCACCACTTTCAAACAATTCGTCAACTGTAGCGACGGAGCTAGAAGGTTTCCCAGAGATTCCTACAGTAGCCTCTATAAGTTCCGCAACATTGCCTGTTACAACATCCTTCACTGCCACTACACCTGACTATTCCGCATTTCATAGTGAGTTTCCACCTGTTGAACTAGCTACTACGAATATCTCCACCATTCAAGTACGTGTTTGTTGATTTCTTAATGTAAGATCCTGTGCTGCGAAACTGATAATTTAATAATCCTTTTCTTGTGTTTTTTTAATAGCCATCTTTTGATGGATTAAGTCAGGTGACAGATGAGGAAGAACAAGAGAACGAGGTGTTGAGGTATGTGCGTTTTTGTTGTTTTTTTTAAGAGACAAAGAAATCAAATGTTGATGTTAAATTAATAAATAAAAACACACATACATATACAGAGAATGGAGAGAGAGACAACGAGAGTTAATTGCTGAACGTGACGAGGCTTCCGAACAAAAAAAGAAAGAGACCATAAAACAAGCTCATGATGAAATCGACAAATTTTATAGTGAATATAACGAGAAAAAAGCTATTGCTCAACAACACAACAGGTAAATAATTATCATTCGTGATAATGCTGATTTTTTTATGTATTAGTGAAGCTCGAAGCATAAAAAATGAATTTTGTATTCTAGGAATCAAGAAGAATTGTTTATACAGGAAAGAGATGACATCACTTCTGGTACTTCATGGGAACGGATTTGCAAGATTCTGAGTCTCGTTAATGCTCAAAGTAAATCAACCAATAAACATGAGAAAGATGTCAGTCGATTTAAAGAATTACTTTTAGATTTGAAAAAAGATGAAAAGGCGCCGGGTGCGGGTGGATATTAAGGCATTGTGTATGTTTGCACGGGTGATCGTTGCAAATGAACAGTGGTATCCTTTTTTAAAAAGATGTAGTTTTTTATATGTACCATTTTTTTTAAACACCATCTCTGATATAATGATACGGTATAGGGTTTTTTTATGAGTGAAGTAAAATGCTTTGTTTTTTGTTTTGAGTAATTGAGAACAATTATAGAATAATATTATTTGACTTAAAAGGGAGTATAGATGAATAGACAAGTGGGGGTAAAATGATTATACGATAAATAATGTAATAAGTGTCTAGATATACACACACACATATATACGTATGGTTATTTGGTAGTATATAAAAAAGTAATATTAATAAAACCATTTAACCTGCAACTGATTGTTTAATCGTTTATATTTCCGTCCGTTTTGTTAGTTCATTCAATTGTGAATTAACTTCTGATAATTGTGCGGCGTTATTTCTCAGCTTATTAGTCATTTCTATAATTTTTCCAACAATTTCATTCAAGGTCAACGTTGTTGTATCTAATACAACAGCATCAATCGCCTTTCTTAATGGCGAAACTTTTCTCTCCAAATCTGCCTTATCTCTTTTCTCTAAATCACGTAATATTTCTTCAAATACAACCTTTTTATCTTTCAGTTTCAATTGTTCGTATCGTCGCATCGCTCGTACATTAGCATTAGCCGTCAGAAATATTTTCAATTGGGCGTCGGGAAGCACTACAGTTCCAATATCACGTCCATCCATCACCACCCCGTCAATATTCGTGGAATTTGCGTATCCCCTTTGTTTGGCGAGCATGACTTTCCGTATCTCCGGGATAGCGGCGACGAATGACACATTACGTGTTACGTCCATTGTTCGGATATCAGCGGAAACATCTTCGTCATCTAAATAGACCATGGTTTGTGGCGCGTTGTCGCCCCCAGAGCTTCCAATTGGTTTGGTGGTGGCGAATTGAATGCTTGAGTTATGTGCTAGATTGATTATGTGTGATATTCCATTATGAGATTCGAATTTTATGTTTTGGCGAAGTGCCTTCAATGTTATCTATATATATTTGAATATTAGAAAAAAAGACGCGATCTTTGTTATGTAAAATGCTTGGATGCATATACCGCTCGATACATAGCCCCTTTTTGAATAAGAAGAAAAAACAAATGACATTATCAAAAAGTCTCCAAATATAATTTCACCGAAAGTTTAGTTTCTTACCCGAATCAATATGCATGAATCCTAATCGATGCGCGACATATCTTGATGTTGTACCTTTATTTTTTCATTCAATGCGTTATCAAGGGATTGGAATCTTTGACACATATCACGAACATGATAATATAATTCGAGAATTCGCATACTTTTTCCAGAGGCAGCAGGTCCATCAATTGCAATTTTGAAGATACTTAATTTAGGAAGAATCGCAGCGCGTGACGCCATGAATAAATTCAATAACAATGAACGTAACGGTAAAAAGACGTGGGTATATAAATCACTTGAAAAAGTATAAATAGATTTAAAGATCGGTAACACAAGACAAAACCACAAAGTCATGAATGAAATGGGAGACTACACCTTCGCCAATTCAAGCTTTAATGTTGATTTCGGGAAGAATTGGGAAACCGCTATCAGGACCCTTAACGAGGACGCACCAGCCTTACAAGGCTTGCGTCAAAAGACAAAGGTTCTTTCATACTCTTGCCTTTGGTTTTTTCTGCCAAATTCAATTTAAATAATACTTGTGGTCCCTATTAAATAGGCCTATGCTGTTGTAAAAAGTTGGATGGATCCCGTAAGGTTTTCAGAGATTAATCTTGATGGTTTGTATTATATAGGATTAACACTTGGCTAATATTATTAATAAGAGATAATTTATGAATTTCTATATATATATTTCTTGTAAATGAGATAGTCCCACAAGAAGTAAGCGATAGTATGAACTTGATACGCGATACACCTTTGGCGCAACGATTGATTGAATGGTACTTGGGTAATGGATGAATGAATATTTCGCGTATTGTTCGATAGTCTTTTACGCGTCATTATTAATTATTTTTGTTGTATTAGATGCCGTGTGTGATGATTTTTCCGTGAGATTCAAAAACAAACTACAAGAATGGCGTTATAGGTTTAGGGTAAATAATCTTTTCTTGAATATTATTATTTGTTAATGATTTGATCAATTAATTAATGTGTTGAAAAAAAAAGAATTGGAATGAAGAAGTAGAAGAAGAATCCTTAACAGAATGGGTCTGCAAGTCGTATGCACAGATGATTCATGAAATTCACACCCATTTTAAAAGATGTGAAATCCCGTTTTTAATTATGTATGATAGGTTTGCATATAATCTTTAATTTGGTTATGGTGATTCTTTTTTTTTTGTTGGACTATGTGTTGCCTGTTTTTTATTCGTATTGAAATGAGCACACATATACCCGAAGATTATCCGTGCTCATGGGATTGTGAACTTTTTTTCATAGTACAGAAACTATGCTCTTGTATCAACTAAGGTACCACACCATGCTGTATTCTTCATTGCAAGACAAGTCGCAGCTTTATTCGACTGTTCCGTCATCTTTCAAAGAAATGACAAAGATCGTCTACCGAACCAATTATAAAAAATTTGAAAAACTACGGAAACAAGATCCTAATCTGCTGGAAACATTTCTCCCGATATCAACCAAACATAATGGCCTCAGCGAGAATGAGCTATTCGCATGGAAATCGAATGATGATTTGAACTCGATATACCTAGCGCAGGAAAATCGTGCTGAATCAAAAAACGACAATCCTATTGATAATGTTGCTTTAGAAGAGATAGCCCCAATAGCCATTGATAAACCAATGCTAGAAGATGATGGCGCGGAAGGTGAAGAGGAGGGTGAGGAGGACGAAGAATTATCGGATATAGACGCTGAAGAGGAGGAACCATCAATTTCCACGATTGGACAACTTCGTACCTTCTCCAATTTATGTAGTGAATTAGATTCACTTGATTTGCTTTATCGGACAAAGGATATCCTTGAGGAAATGCTTTGTGAACAGATAGAGCTACGGATTGAAAAAACTTGTAAAAAGAATTATTATAAGCCTCAATTGCGTAGATCTACCAGATGGCTTTATTCTTCGTTGTACCGCTGGCTGCAGATTGTCATGCCGCCAGAGTCATTGGCATTCAGTGATACTTCAAACGGTAAATAATTTTTTCTATATATCATTCGAAGATTTTTTCTGCCATCAAATTTTCTGATTACCTTTTTAATCTTTAGAAAAGATGGTTATGTGGTCCCATCGCTTGAATTATCATTTTTGCATGGTATTCTGTGATCTTAGGTAATTTGTTTTTAACGTTTAAATTGTCATATTTTGTTTTTTACAAGATCAGCTTATAAGATTTCCGTTTTCTGTGAAATGACAGAATAAAAGAATTGTTTGAATTGATCGTTGATTTTCCAGAATCTAAACCTGCAATTGATGACTTATTAGTAAGTGTATCACACACGTTACAAAAACAACGCGAATTTTTATTTAATTGCTATGCTTATTTGTAATTCGTGGCTTTACAGTTATGTATGAAAAAATTGGAACAAGATCACCGACATCGTCTCGTGCAATCGCTACATACATCGTATGTTGTTACATCGGGTATTTTGTTTAGTCGATATATTATTTGATTTATCGGAACATGAAAAGCAAATTGATTGATTGGAGATCTTTTCCTCTTTACTCTTATTTATAGATTTAAAAAACGACTGCTTATTCCTGGCGCGACCACTACGGATATCTTAAAAACGTATATTTCAACGATAAAGTGTCTCCGAATATTGGATCCGCCTGGAGTGCTCTTGGAAAAAGTCACAAGCTCGATTCGTTCTTATTTGAGGTCGTTACTCTTGTTATTTTCATGTATAGAAACGTTATAATGATTTGCTCACAAGTTCAATTTGAATATTTAATTCAGATCTCGAAATGACACAGTACGATGTCTAGTCTCGTGTTGGATGGATGACAAAAACCCAAATAGCGAACTGATTGAAGAACTAGGCAGAGCAACGATCCCCGTTTCCGAAGACGAAGAGGAGAATTCAGAATTTGATAATGATAACTGGATGAATTGGGTTCCTGATCCGATAGATGCGGGTCCAAGTATGTGCAATATTATTCTTTAAATGTTTATCATTTCTCTTTATAGTTTGGTATTTGAGACTATCTTTTTTATTTAATTGATAGATTACAAGTCCACAATACATCGATCTGCCGATATTACAAACATCCTAATCAATATGTTTGACAACACGGATGAAATAATTGAAGAAATTCAAAAACAAATGGCTCCTCGTTTATTATCCATTACTGATTACGACACGACCAAAGAGGTGAGAACGATTATAAAAATAAAAGTGATTCGCACAATTTAGAAGAAATAATCATCCACCATTTGCACTTTTTTAGGTAGCAAAACTCGAACTATTCAAGCTTCGATTCCAAGAAGCCAAGATGGCCCATACAGAAGTCATGATTAAAGACATTGCTGATTCGAAGCGGATGGATAATCTTGTGCATACTTCTGGATATCTTGCCCCGCGAATGTTTAACGGGAATGGTAATGATGATAATCAGGAGGGCGAGGTTAGCAAATTACAGGATTGTTCTCACTTTATGTGAACGTATTTTTTACTAATCTGCATTATATACTATACATTGTTTTTTATCTCCTTGGATCGCCATTATCTAGGCACCACTTCATGCTCATATTATTTCCAAACTGTTTTGGCCACCGCCAAAACATGAAGAACTTTTACCTCCGGAGCCGATTCAAGAGTATTTATTATTCAGTTTTTATATGCCTTGGACTAATTTTATTATCATGTGAATATTAATAGTAAATCCTGATTTTTCAATCAAGTATGATTTATAAATTCGAGGGAACTTATACGATGCACAAGCAGCGAAGGAAATTAGAATGGTTTCCTAATCTTGGAACAGTTGATTTGGAAATCGAATTAGAAGATAGGACACTAGAGTTCAGGGTATCACCGATATACGCAACTATAATCTATCATTTCCAGATGCAAGGTACTTATTATTTAATTTTTCTACTAGGATTAACGGTTATTAACGTTTAATAAGAACGCATTGTTTTTGAATGAATAGAGGTTTGGTGGCTTAAAGCACTTGCTAAGGAAATGCACATGGAACCTGCAAAGTTGCGAAAGAAAATGCCATTTTGGGTTGATCATGGTGTATTAAAAATGATCGAAACGGATAAATGGAAGTTACTTGAAAAGTCGGAGGGATCTAGTGCAGGAGGTAATAATTATTTTCAAGGGGAACGTTATTGCACGTAATTGAAACAAAAAATAAACGATATAAAAATACAAATAATTACACTTCTTTAGCCTTCATTTCCTATGATGAACCAACCATTGCGATCCAAACGGTGGAACCGGAACGACTTGATGAGCTTCGTGTGTTCTGGACGTTTATTCATACGATGCTCACCAATCTCGGAGCACTCTCGTTGGATCGCATACACAATAATCTCACGAGAGTCGTCCAACCGGTGCAGTATACTGCCACAGCAGATGAATTGAAAGAGTATTTGGGGTTATGTATCGCCGAGGGAAAAATTGAACAAATTGGAAGTTTGTATCAATTGAAAGATCCTTGATTTACTAAACGTCGGATGCAAGTTTTCTTGCAGTCCGTTGTTATAATTATTTATTGTATATAGTAAAAATTATTCAGCTTATTATTTTTAAAATTGTAAAGTTTCCCCTTTATTATATTATTTACATTAATGTTCGGTTTTATAATGTATCGCGTCAGTATAAATGTAATGAAGCGATTATTCAAAAAACCTTTCATCTATGCCAAACCAATTAAAATGATTACAGTAAAATAAAGAAATGTGCATCGTCGTATTTTCAATCATCATTGTTCTCTCATTTCATCATCTTCAAAATATTGTTCATACATTACTTCTTTTTCATCGTAATGACCATCGGGCGTGAGTGAACCATTATTAGTGGTGACTACAGGATTTGTGTAATACATATGAACGGCGATACAGCATAAAAATGCGCCCATGAAGAACCAAGCAGTCGGCTGAAAATCGAGTAACAGATAACTGACAAACGTGGAAAAGAACATTGCCATTGAACCCGCGTATACTTTTGTAATGCTTCCAGCGTATTTGATAATTGCCGACGTGACTAAACCCATCGAGCAGATCGACATTATTATGCAAAAGTGAATTGGACGCAATGATTCAAAAAATCCCAGTGTGTCTTGTCGTGAAGATGATTGCGAAAAATACACGAATCCGTTAAACAAGATTCCAAACAAGTAAAGTTTGATATTTTGCAAATGAATTGATTCATTCTCAAATTTATCTTTCATCACGAATTCAGTAAACACTGAAGCACCGGCTGATATTGATGAAAATACGAAGATTAAGAAAAGACCTAAGGTGGATGTGGTCAAATTAAATGCGCTTTCTTGATCATAATTTATTTGAGCGATTGTCGCACCGAAGAATAATAAACCAAGTGAAATCCATTGGAATGAACTAAGTTGTCGTTTTAGAAACAAGTACGAGAAAAATCCTGTTGTGAGAATTTTTAAATTGCTAAGCACCGAGAATGTCGGTGGGTCCATCATACTTAATATAGTAAAGGTTAGATTATTATTTATGAAATAGGCGAGCGCAGGAATTCCGAACAATAATGTTTTGTATGAGGTGAATATGCTTGCGAGAATTCGTAATAAATGTTTAAATCCTTCATATTGTGCTGATCGCCCAAGATAAGTATATCGCGGTAGTAGTGATGTCGAGTTCGAAAAGCAGCAAAGTTCAATACTTAGAAAAATGATCGACACTAATAATAAATAAATATATTTCGTTAGTTTTTCTATATTTGATAAATGAAATATCATACAGAATATGTTGACAAAAATAGAAATAATCCCACTTACAAGTCATTTTCACAAGTTCCGCCAGAAAAATCATCTTTGTCGAGTTTGGTTTGGTTTCTTCTCGCGAGTTCGCGAAACCTACAAACAGCGACTCTGACGTAACAAAAATACATAGGAAAAACGATAATAGTAGGGTGCTAGACCTCGAAAGGACATTTGCGCTCATATTTTTTTTTTGAAGAGAAGAAAAGAAAAAGATGAAGATTTTGATGAAATTTTTGAAAGGATCAGGAGAAATAAAAATGATTTTGAAAAGAAAAATGATTTTTCTCCAATATCATCGTTATTCATTGCCTTAAAAAATGATGGAACAATGCAATATAAATAAGTGAATAAGTATACAATATAAGTGAATTAGTATACAAATTTCACCTGGCCTCACGGGATGTTTTACAATCAAATGGAAAAAAGATTAAATCCGGAATTACTATTTGTACGCTACAATGGAAAAAATCAAAGCCACATCCTTTGCCTATTGTTGTACAACAAATCAACTCATACATACATACACACTTGTACATGTATTACATACATTATTGCATGTCATGTATAAAGTTATAGGAACAAACGACAAAGTAAAACTTTTATTATGGCACATAAAACTAGTTTTATTAAAAGCTTATTGTTTTCACCTTTAAAAGAGATTTATATTTCTCGAACGATTAACATCAAAGAACGTACGTTTATAACAAATTATCGGAGCCCGGAGTTTTTGGAATCCAAATATATCTTAGTTCAATTTTTTGGGCGTAGTCGGATCATTGATGTATTTTATCAAGGTTTGAAAGTGTTTCCTCACAATGAATTAAATTATCTATCTACATGATAAGGAACCTCTCACCATTGTCGTATATGTTTTAATACGTTCATTAACTGTATTGGGTACTGCTCTTTGAAACGAGTTTTTCATTCACACGGATATATCTGTACATTAACGATACAACGCATGCACATGTGCATATGAATGTTTCAATTAAAGGATTGTACTAATTTCTTTTCTTACACGAGTTATATTGATCAATAATATTGTTTTTTTGTAAATTATTATGCGTTTTGAATATTTCTATAAAATTTGTCAAACTTTAAAAGTTTATAGATTACACCAATAAAAAATTTGAATTCAATAAGATTACGAAATCATCAAATTCGAGATCGGCAAAGAAATCTCAAAATTTTTACTTGAGTAAAATTGTGAGCACAAAATTTTACATACAATCTTCTCTTTTTACCCTTTTATATGACGAATATGCACCTCACGTGAACTTTTAATACAAAATCAAATTTATATAATATTTAGATAATAGATTTTAATTAGAATTATATACTTGTTCTCTTTGAAATTTAGCTAAATATAGCGTTTTTTACATAAAGTTATCAATTTTATTAATAAATAATTTTATTTTTGTATTGAAAATAAAAATAAAAATAAACATGCAGAAAGGGAAAATACCATAACTAATATGTCATAATAACGAACAATTTTTATGTAGCTCTATCTATATATAGGACTGTATTGAGGTTTTCATATTAACGGGTGTCATATCTCAGATTAATTCCAAAAAATTTATGTAAATGTTTTTGGTATAAAAATATAAACTACATATACATTTCAAAACCCCGAAGAACATCCATAAGCCCAACAAACGAAATCCCGAATCCCGAAAGATCGAATTCCCGAAAGAACGAAATCCCGAAAGTATAGCATGGAATACCAAAATCATGAATTATCATTATTTCGGGATTTCGGTATAACAATATTACAGCTGTTTTCTTGATTTGACCGAATAATATTTATCGATTCGATAAGTTTTTATTCGTCAATGATAAACTTTTGATTTGGGGCATGATTATTAGTAATATAAAGCGATATATACATATTTTCAACAATTTTCCAACGAATATAATTTGAAAATGCCATTTAACAAAGATAAAATAGCGATAGTGATATACACATAATACAGTATAATTATATATATCGATCATTATTAAAATCACGAAGTTTTATGATATTACTATTTACTGTTATATAGATCATTACCGAAATCACTAACTTATCGAATCGGCAATATTTATTCGGTCAAAGCTGTCCCAGTTAGAATGAAAACATCTGTAAATAACAAAAAATTCTTGTTACCGTGACAAACTCTCACAAGTCACAAATCTTGTGTATCCCGCGGAAATTTTTAAGACAAAAAAATTTAAAATTCACGGATTAAAAATTTGATTGGTCAGCTACTTTTAGCTTCTAGAATTCGAATTTGTGTTTGACACACAAAATTGTAAGCTGATGTAAAATTAAAAGTAAAATATTCTCGTATTATTCTTAGTTGCCATCAACGGTTATAAATGAGACAAGAATGCATTAGTTTGACTATTATTAATTAATTACATGAATTAGGAAAAGACACCACAGATCCGATTCATCGCAAATGTTTAATCGCTGTGTATTTTTGATAACTATAGATAGAAAATTCATAAAGACAAACAAATAAATCACTGCATATAGTACATACCCCTTTTTTCATGTAAATAGTCCGTTTTTAGACACAAATAAAATTTTTGTATCACAGTACCACAAGCAAAAAGAACACATCAAGGAAGTGTCATTTATCGATTTTTTTAATGGGATGGTGCAGTGAAGAATATTTTATGTACTCAGTATTCTCAAGAAAAATTTTGAGAACATGATATTTAAAAATTATGATCTTTATCTGCGAACATAAAATTTGTAAATTTATTTATAATGAGAACATTAAAATTTTTTTGAGAATCTAAAAAATTATAATTTATGTTCTGAAAGAACAAAAAAATTTTCACTGGATAGGTGGGTCAAATTATCAGGTTTCAACATAATTTATATATAGATATACTTTATATTAATTTTGCATATTAATTATGATTAAGATAAAATAAATAATTTTAATAATTTATCGAGATTTGGCTCTTGGATAGTTTGGATAGCTTGTTCAAGTTTTTTTGAAAAATCATTAGTAATTTGATTATGTAGATATCTGAACAACATTTTGGCCTGGTTTATAGCCAAATTTCACAGAATAGTCTCATAGGTAAAAATTTCAAGATACAGGCCATTTTTCACACGAATATCGGATCAAGTCGATAATCACATGATCTGCAGAAATGTAGAGACCACTGGTAGATCCGAGAAAATCTCGTAACAGAACTGACTTTATATGAATAAGAAAAGCAAAAAATTTTGACATATTTAGTTCATCAGGCATGCTTATTTTTTGGGATGAAAAATTTCGCTTCTCATTTCATACTCATTATTGGGCGTGTTTTTTTATTTATTTCAATAATCATTTTCGAATTATTGGGTTGGAAAGCAGCTATTTATACGAGATTATGAATTAAGTAGAGATTACATAAGAGAAACATGCAGATTTTAAGACAGCCTCAAAAACGGTTCCTATTCTCTGATCATGCTACTGGTTTTGCTATTCATCCACATGCCAATTGTTTAATCTACAACTAAGTGAATTCCTTTTCTTATTTATAAATAGAGAAATTTTCGTTAGTATAATTATATGAGCGAGAGAAAGGTGATATAGCATACAAACAAATAAAAATAATCTTAATTCGCGCGAAATACGACTTATTTTGATAAGTATAAATATAATATTAATACTAGCTGTGCTGAAAATTTAAAAGGATTGATCACATGATGGGTTACGCTTTAACCGTTCTTAATAAATGGAATTTGAACAGTTTAATTTTTTTACGTTCGTATAGAGGGCTTGACCAACAACCTCCAAGAATCCTCTTCCAAAAACAGTAGTCGATTGAGTATATCCCATCCTGGGAACACCCAATGCTAATCCCTTGCTTATATTGGCGAGTTTCGTTTCTACCTCCCCTCTGTGCGTGACAACCTGTTAATGGCCTTAGTGACCAAAATGCATAAATAATAAATGGAAATTTTCTTTGAAACCTACGTTTTTACTTTAATTAAATTCATAATGTCGTCCAAAGTTTTAATAAAAATGGGATTCACAAAATTTTTTCGGTAAGTTCACTTTGATCTGGATCCAATTTCATGAACATAACCCATTTTTCATATAACTTTGATCGTAAGTCATACAAGATTTATAATAAAATTGGGGTCATGTTCAAAGTCATAGGCCAACACTGCTTTTGGATAAGTTATGGTCTAGATGTTAAGAAAGAAATGAAGTTACTATGCAAACATCACATGCAGAAGAAATTTTGAATACTCACATAATTTTGCTTGTTGGTCTTCTCAGAAGATTGCTCATCATTATTAACTTTGCTAGAGTCTCGTTTCTTTAGGTCCAATAGACGGATTCTCAAGAACATCTACTAAGAAAATCAAATCAAAGAGATTTATTTTCCAAAGGGGTTTGGTACTTTTGTATAGGAGGCTTTAGAATATTTTTCATTGCGATTTTTCTGACGGAAGTTGCATCCTGAAGATCTTCAGAGTCGAAGTCAATATCACTGCTAATAGTGGCTCTTTCTTCAGAAATGTCTTCAGCAATCTCTACAGGTAATATCGGTTCCAAATATATGAAGGGTAAGTAAGATTATTAAATTCTCAGCACGAAATGTTAAATTTACAAGTAAACAATACAAAACCGAGTTCAAATATCTTTTAAGATGCGCTTTTCAGGTTTTGGCAACTTATTAACAAGATTTGTAACATTTCGTTCCGAAGATTAATGATTCGATAGTTAAATGGACATTTTATTTTTTATTTTTAAAGTTGTGCAAATAAGCACTGTTACCTCTTGCGATAAATGGACGTTTTTTAGGTAGGTATCTTCATTGACATCATTATTATTGTCAAAATCTCGAATCTGAGAATTCTTGAACATGTGATTATTCATTATCGCTCTGTTCTTGTGTTATGTACACGTCAAAAAAAGGCTTATAAAAGACATTATTGCAAACTAGAATTACCTCCAGGATCGAAGGGGGGAAATGAAAGCATCTGACGAATATATTTGGTGTGGTGGTCGTGGTGGTTGAAATAATTCGGAAGTAACTTCTTTAATTCCACCTATTATATTTCTTTCCAAAGACGTGTAATTATCAGTAGTACTTGCTTTTGTCACAGCCTTTATCTCTTCCATGTACTGGTATGTTACTTCAATTTTGTTCTCCTCGGGACTTATTATCCTAAAGAAAATCATTAGCACCATTGATACTCAACTTATAAATAAAAAAAAATACGCATCTATACCTCTTCATGATCTCTTTTCGTCGCGAGAGTTCCGCCGTTGATATATTTAGATTTTTGGTTTTGACATTGATCACAGTGTCTCATAAGTTATAATTGCTCTTTTCTAAATAAGACATTATGTTAATAAAGAGTTTCCCATACGTAGCCGACAATGCAATGACTTTTATACTTACTTTTGCCTCTAATCTTCTTATAGCTAATAAAATACTTGCAATGGTTTTCAAACATTTCACTTGCTGATAAGATCATTTGGTGAAAAGATAGTCAGATAATGATGGAAGAAAACTATGACCGAACATAATAAACAATAGAAACCATACATTCATCCGTTCACCATTTCGATAAGCGATCTTGGAGAAAAATCGGCTAATTCTCGAATTTGGCTGACAAGATTTAAATGCACCGTGAATCTGGTAACTTTGCTCATCTATTTTTTAAAAAAAGAGGCGTTTTTGATTAGTCAACGGTACCAACAAACTCATGCATAAATAATCCTTTGTAGCCTTCAAATGGGTGCAAGTTTATCAGTCGCAGTCACGCGGTTGAGCGCGTGGAAGTTCAAGGCAATCCTTAGCATATGACTCTAGCTGTCCTTTCCGTGTTGAGCAAAACAGACAGAAGAGCAGACGTCCTAGACACAGACCGATGCTTGTCCCAGAAGCAAGCTCTTTCCGCAACGTCCTCTCTTACACGTGTGTTGAATACGGAAGATTTGCAAGTAAACCCTGGCTCCATCCGGTCCTAATCAAGTTATCCACTTTTCGTGTTGAACTTCCGGTCGGGTCTTGATCGATCGTCATGCAACAAAAAGAGTCGCGTGTATACTAATATCAATATTAGTAAAATACTTAACTTTAGACAGTATTCCTTTGTTTGATTCTATTTCTTTATTAGTTTCTGCCATATATTTAAGAAATATTTAAGTAACTCTTTCCATAAACAGTTTGGCTAATATTTGGTAATGACAATTACCAGTTTCCTTATTTACCAGATTTACAATTCATATGTGATATACCGAATTCACGAAATCCCGAAATCGTGATAATTTTTGTTATTCATAATTTTGATAATTTTGGGATTTCGTGTATTCGGGTGTCATTAGTTTGGGGTTTCGTTCATTCGGGATGCCGTCAATGTAAAATATCACTTTGATTGATAAAAATACAGTAAATGTTGAAATTAATTTTGAAAAATTGCATTTGAGTGGACTTGTTTTTGTTTTATTCGTAGAATGTATTTTGCGATTTGATATCCTCATTAAGTCATTTTAATTTTTGGCTTCTAATTCAAGATATAATTTTTCTTCACCTGTTTTAGGATATCAGTTTTCATTTATTATCTATTAATTGGAATAGAGTAAGTAAAGCTATTAATTAAGTTATCCAGCAGTTGTCTGTTTTCTGGAATAAATTATTTGATACGCTTTTAATACGAATTTCTATCATGATGACTCCGTTCACCAAATGGTTGTTCACCAGCTACAATTTCGGACATCCCCAAAGCTATAAATATCGGCAGCCTTAGTGTATAGCTCTCCACTTAGCACCACTGGACTCATATAGTAGATTTGTTGGGACGCTCACCAATTTGAGGTTTATAATACATTTATATTTCTAGGATGAAGGTAATGATGCACAAACTTTCTAGTGAATTTTTATAGTTAAAATACCATTTTTTGCATAATCCATTACTATTATTCCATATTATATAACCATAATCACTGCGATCTGAATCTTTTTTTTTGAAAATTTTAATTGTATTAGAAAACATAAAACAATTTTCATTTTAGAAAATGTTCATTTTTATAAACTGTAATGATTTAATTTCTCTACGTTTAAATTTCTTCATGCTCAATAAAGATGTACTGGTTCATCCAACCAGGTTGCTTTATAAATTGACCTAAAACCTCCTTTTTGCAATATATTCAACGGGGTAAATTTTTCAAAGAATCCATTTGAGTAATTTTGTTGCATTATTTTTCATGATATTTGAAATATTTTCAGAAGAATATTATTATATTTTACTTGAAAGAATGATTTTTACTTAAGTATTTAAAGTTGGTTCTAGTTTCTGTTAACACAATCAAAATTAAAATATAGCATATTTGAAGTGAAGATTATTTACTATAATAATAAAAATCAAGTGTAACTTATTTAAATTAATAATTAATATTAAGCTATTAAAAAATTCAAAAGAAGAATTAAATAGTAAAAAAAAATCTAATCAAATTAATTTTCAAAAAAGAAAATAATAAATAAGAAGAATAATTTGAAGAATTAAATAATAATAAATAAGAAATATTATTGCTATTTAACTAATTCTCTTTTTATTATAGAAATAAAATCTAGTTATATCAAATTCATTCTTATTTTGATAAATAAAATCTTTATTAATAATAAAAAATATTATTAAATTTCCAAATAAAAAAAGAATAAAAAACTAATCAAAAAAGTAATAACAGATAAATTAATATTTATGTAATAATTTTAATTAAATTATCTTCTTTTAGATTAAATCTTCATTTTACATTATTTATATAACAGATTAGCTTCTGTATTACTTTTCTTGAAAATCATTTTATACTGAATACACAAATAATTATTCATGTATTTATTTAATTAAATTTATCATATTATTATACAGATAATCATTATATGTATGCTTAATTTATATTATTAATATTTTAATCATATTATTTTCTTTATATTTTTATTTGTTCTTCTTAATTTTATTTATATTATTATTTATATTATTTATAATTTATTGAATTATGATTAGTTATTCTTTAAAGATATAAATTAAGTTAATTAATTTTGTTTAGCCTATATATATTTTATTTATAAATTATTATTAATTTATTTATATTTGTATTTATTTCTTTCATTATAAATATGATCTGTCTGTTTTGTAAAATAACTTCAGATCTGAATACTTTAAATAATAAAAATAATAATAAGTTATAAAATTAAAACTTATTCATATCATATTTTATCATATTTACAACCATTAACAAAATAATCTTACAACTTGGTAATAGTAGACACAGTTATTACAAATATCATCCTCTAATATCTTACACTCACACACTATATACTACACTACATATACACATATTTTAGTTTTAATAAACAAATATATTGTCAAAATGAACACAGAACAATTTGCACAATTTATAGCAAGCATGACTGAATTAATCAAAACTGTAAAAGAAGATGGTCCTTCTGGTCCTAAGCCTTCATCTTGTCTCTCAGTAAAATTACCTACTTACTTTGGAGAACTAAATAAAAATGTACTTGTCTGGATTATGCAAGTTAAAATAATATTTCAAGCCCAAGAAATTACAAATGAGAAAATCCAAATATAATATACTGCTATCTTCTTGACAAATGCAACTTTACATTGGTATCTCAACAAAGTAAAAGTAGATGATAGTGTTAAATCTTTTGAAAACTGACAAGCTTTTGTTACAACTTTAAGAGAAGCTTTTTAATCATCATACTATCAATAACATCTTCATAGACAACTTTGCCTTTTTCACCAAACTGGATCTGTATAAGACTATGACATAAAATTTAGAAATATAATTGGATAAATAACAGATATGAGTACTTTAGATCAGGTTATATATTTTATAGAAGGTCTAAAATCAGCTACAAAGATGAAGATAAGTTACCAGGTACCAGAAATCTTAGAAGATACTTAGAAGTTAGCCATTCGCTATGATACAGCTATGTATGGCCAAGGCAGATCTCTAGTTCTATCAAGCAAAAATAATAATAGTCATTGCTCTCAGAACTCATATAGAAATCACCAGAATAATAACCCAATACTAATAGAACTTGATCAAGCAGAAAGCTATTATAACAACAGAAAGAATAATAATAATCAGAAGAATAATAATGATCAGAAGAATAATAAGCCCAAAGGCACATGTTACAATTGTGATAAATCAGGCCACTTTGCAAAGAATTATTATTCAAAACCCAAGACCAAAATTGCAAATATTGAAGATAAACAAGAAGAATCTTCACAGTTATATGAGAGAGTTGAATTTGCTCATCTTGAAGATAATAGAGAAAGATTATTAAAATTTAATAGCCAAGTAAATAGCAAATTAGTATGGATATTACTAGATAGTAGTGTATCTAGAAATTTTGTAAATAAAAAATTTGTATAGAAAAATAAAGTGAAATTGTAAAAGATAATATCAGTCACAGTTAAACTTGTAGATGATAAAAAAATAACAGCAATTACCATGATAAAAATTGATAAGCTTAAGTTAGATACTTATAGAATGTATAAAATGGATGCACAAGTATTAAAATTGCAGAGATATGATCTTATTCTAGATAAACCTTGGTTATTTCATGCAAATCCAATTATAGATTGGAGAAATAATACCATAATCTTTACCTATAGTTTCAAAACAATAAAAGTACAAGCTAACAATGAAGTTAAGTCAGGCTCAAGCTGCAATTCAATATATATTTCAAGACAGCAAATTGCAAACTTACCAGTAGACATAGAACTCTTTACTATACATCTCAATAATGCTGAAAACAAAGAAGAAATCAAGAAAAAGTTACTTTTACTAGAAGTATTAGACATCAAAAGAAAATTTCAAGATGTATTTCCTGAAATCTTACCAAATCAATTATCACTCAAGAGAGTAATTGATCATAAAATTGATCTCATTCCAGGATCTGAATCACTATTCAGATCAACCTACAGACTTTCTTTCACAGAAATGGATGAGCTTAAGAAACAATTAGCTGATCTTATTCAGAAAGATTTCATTCACCTAAGTGTCTCACCCTTTGGAGTACCAGTTCTTTTTGTACATAAAAAAGAAGATACATTAAGATTATGTGTTGATTACAGAGCTTTGAACAAAATCACTATCAAGAATCGCTATTTCTTATCAAGAGTTGATGAGTTGATGGACAGACTCACAGGATC